CAATTGGAAGTCAATATGCGGCTTCCAAATACATGTATTGTTCTACATTGTGCTGTATATATCGTAACGTTTGTATCCGTAAAAACATAACATCGTTTTCAGTATCTGCTACACACTTAGGGAAAATAACAAAAGGACTGCAACACCCTCTTTCTTGTAATGAAATTTATTCAAAATCGCTTTAATTTTCTGCCCCCCCCCCCTCCAAATTACATTGAAACTGATGCAATATTTTTTTTTCTGAGAGTATAACTGCAAAAGACATTTTTTGAGACACACTATTATTTCAATATTTTAAAGAAAATGAAAGAAAGACAAAAAAAACTTCATGCAAACATATTTTGTAAAATTTCCTTGTAACATTGACGCATGAATTTGTCTGAAGATTTGTCTCAAGATTTCTTATACTTTTAAAATAGTTTTGTGAAACAGCAGTGACAAATCTTATGATTGTCAAAAGTCAGATCTTAGGATAATCTTAAGATCTATCTTAGGACATATCTTACAATAGTTTTGTGAAACCCGGCAATGACTTATATGCCATTGCGAATGGTCAAGAACATGAATATTGAATATTTGAAATTTATATTCTTCTTTTTACTCTATGACTAAATGAACATCGGCATTTAGGTCTTGAAGTTAATAATAAACAATCGTGAAAATAGCTACGTTTAAATTTTTTCTTGAAAAATTACTCGAGTACTCCATCGGAAAGGCAGGCGAGTAACCGGTTACTAAAAATTGATCGACTTGACAACCTATTTCATATACAACTGTACATGTGACTTGGAGGCTGGATCCCCACTTCCATTTTTTTTTTCATTTCAAATCTGGAGTCGACGCACCTTTTTTCTATCTTGGTATAGTCTAAAGTGCATTACATGATATCGATAATGTAACCCTTTTGTCTCAATAAGATGCTTTTTAATATATCCTTTTCGACTGATCATACATAAAAAGAGAGAAGGTTTGCAAGGCGTGCACCAGCTGGTCACGGAAGTGCAATAACGATAACTCTGACTTTTTAGATTCTTTACAATGCTTTGCATCAAAAAGGTTTTCCCGACCTTGTAATAAAAATTTTATGACATTTGATTGGCAAGGTTGTATATTAATAGTAAATCTTCATTCATCAGAATCAGCTGCTAGAAACAATTATCCAGTTAAATACAGAATTTACCGTTAAATATTAAGAGAATATTCGGGATTTTTCCCTCTCGCAAATAATGATCCGAACGACATTACACCAGATGAAAGCTCAATAATACAAGGCCGCAACAACCATTGAGGCAAGTGAGGCAAATGCCTCACCAAAAAATTCTGGGTTTTTTTTTAACTAAAACAAAAGTACTATTTTGAACATATCATTTGACCAAATAGGATGAGGCTTGGATTGCACTATTGAGAGAGCCCTTTTAGGGGTAAATTCCAGCATGTTTTCTTGACATTTCTAACTACACATATATTTCTTTTTTTATTGACACTACTTGGAAATGTTGCTGGTGTTAAGTTTATCTTACTGACTTACGTCACCTTCCATTTGATTGTGTGAAATGGCACTGAATGCAAAAAAGGGCAGAATCGCTCACATCATGTTTGCTGTAGACTGTTTCCGTGGCAAAAATTATCAAAAACTTTAAAAATTCTAAAGTAATAAATTTGCTAAAACCAAGAAGTTTTGGACCCCCCCCCCCCCCATCCCGACACTGTTTTGTACTTGCTGGGGCCATAGGGCCGACCGAAGTCTCCTTGCCTCACTAAAAAATTGGGCCTAGTAACGGCCTTGGAAAAAGGTGTGTCGACCCCAGATATTAAAAAAAATGGAAAGGGGGGGGGGGTCCAACCTCTCAAGTGTCTGTGATGTATATGCTGTATATCTTTACCATCTTAAAGACATAGGATACATGTACTCAAAACATGATGGTATATGTAAAACAGTTAGTATCGGCAATTTTTACTATAACATGAAATTTCCTTATCAAAACAGCCCTATTTTTCCTTCTCGCCAAGTCTATTTTGAAATTCAATGCAAACAAATGAAATCCCCCGAAATTAATAAGAAATAAATTGCTCCAGTTTTGCCATGTAACAAAGTATTTTGAACCTAAAAACGACAAGAAACAAGAAGTTATTATCTACATTGTAATTCGCACTTTCTTCTTTTTAAATGTGTTGAATGAATTTGTAATTAATTTTATTATGCCATAATTCAAAATTGACACATCAATCGTAACGTCTCGGCCATCTCCATGCCACAATATTTTGTGTGTATAGTGAGTGAAAAAGTTGGGTGAGTTCCGATAGATTGAAAGATTTATTGTGACGTCATCAGTATTGTTACGTTATCTGGTTGTTAGACGAAAACTTTTCTGTATACAAATGTTAAATCCTGGCAAGATGGAGGTGAGAAATAATATTTTATTGTAAATAGGCCTATGTTTTATAAAAGAAAATTTTGCATGCTAGTCTCGGCTGTTTTTGATTGTATCAGTGAGACAGTTTAGGTATAAAAATGTTGAATCGAAACTCGAAAGTGGTTGATCTTTTAACTATCGAAATGCATTTCCTACCTTTTATCTTTAGGTAGCGAATGATTTCTTAAATCTTATATTCGATATCAGTTATACTAACCATTTGTATGCTCTTTAAATTAAATACTAAAACGAATTGTTGAAATATATATACTGTAGAATCAATAAATTTCATTGGGATAAAATTTCGTTGATTTGTCATCTAAAAAGGTTTCATGGGCATTAAATTTCGTTGTTTTGAATGTTACCCTATTCATTATGTAGTAAGAAAAAAATTCTTGTGGGATTTAATTTCGATGAAATAAAAAAAATTAATCCCTACCCTAAAGAATATTTCTGCTTTAACAGTATACATCTACTAGTATGTATATATATTTACTGCCTTCTCTCTTCCGTGTGTGTGTGTGTGGGGGGGGGGGGGGGGGGTTTAGTGAGTACATAAGCATTCTTGACACTATCCTAAATCTCTGACGAATTTTTCATAATACTGATGAAGTCTTGACACGAGTTGATTTCGGTTTATAAACTAAAGTAATTTCTCTAGTAAACTTTCTTTAGAACTCAGTGTCCAGTTTCCATAAAATTCCGTTGAAATAAAAAAAACATGTACATATAATACATTTCTACATGTACTTAGATAATGATGAGGCGGTAGAATGCCGATCTTTTTTATGGTATTTGTTTCAGACGTATAAAATGACGTTTCTTTTCTTTCCTGTATTTTCCCATTTTCCCGGGAAAAGGGGGAAAGTTGGGGGTTCATTGACATTGCCGTCATTCATATATTGATCAAACAACTGGAGAAAAATCATTAAAACAAGAAAAAAAATTATTTCTTTTTTTCACTAACAGGAAGAAAGACATAACTATAAGGAGAGAAACGTGAGAAAGGACAGGTAGGTTCTTAATTATTTTTGCTTTAATCTCCAAGTTTTTTTTCTTTTCAATTAATTTTTTTTTAATTCCACAGTGTGTTTTAATTTTCACATGTTTATTGAATGTTGAAGTAATAATTAACACTTTTGCAATTTCTAGCCGAAATGGCAACACGGGGCACGAGGAAGCATCTAACCTCAGTGCTGAGGAGCTATTCCAACAGATGAGAAGAAGAGAGATGGAAATGTAAATATTTCTTTAAACAATCAGCGTGTTCCTTGTTTGGATATACAATATACTGTAAAACTTGAATATACTGTAAGGAACCTGAAGTTTAATTACATGGTATTAGGCAAGAGTTCGGAAAACAACATCCGGATAAGACAAGTTTCAATATAAGTACAATATAATACAATACAATATAATACAATACAACAAATCTGATTAAATTTTAGAATTAAACTTTTGATAAAGTTTCCTTACTGATATACATGTAATAATTTTTAGATTTGTTTGCAGACTTCTGAAGGCAGGTTTTCCAGATTCAAAACAACAGTCCGAGAGCAAGAGTGCCATAAAGAGTAGAAAACAAAGCCAAACTGTTAAAAAAGACACAAATGAACAGTCCCAAAGAAAAAATCCTGAAAATGTTGAAGAGATGTTCCAACAGATGAGGCAAAAGGAAATGGAAATGTAAATACGTATTTTTATACAGTCTATATTTTTGAATTTTTAGCGAATCTTAATAACATGAATTGGCTAATTAGAATTTTTTATAATTTTCAAAAGAGTGAAATTATGAGATTTCATTGCAGACTGTTGAGAGCAGGTTTTCCAGACACAAAACAGTGGTCTCAACGCAAAAGTGATGAAGTTAGAAAACACCTCAAAGCTGCTGAAGATGATACAAAACAACATCCACAAAACTGCATTTTTGGAGACGATACAACACAAAACTCTCAAAGCGAAAGTCCTGGGGACATCGAAGAGATCTTCCAACAAATGAGGGAGAAGGAAATGGATATGTAAATATTCATTGCATATTTTATGGCTTCTTTTGTTTACAAAAAAACAAATCCAAAGATGACATGGATTAAATTTAAATATCTGTGATTCTTTATCAAGATATTATTAGGTCATCTTTAAAAAAAAAGTTTGTTTGCTCTCTCCCGACCGACTGACTAAAAACGACCCGACTCATACTTTTTTTAATCTCCAGGTAACAATTATTTTTTTATTATTCATTTTGAAATTTTTTCATCCCATGAAGAATTATTTTAACTTCATATTCGTACGTATTTTTGAATAAAAAGAATTTTTCCCAACTACCTACCGACCCAATTTCTTTATCCTGAGTCGGGAGAGGGCAACCAAACATTTTTTTAAAGATGGCCTATTTACAAATCGTATTTGAATAATATTCGGTGATTCCATTCCAGACTACGCAAAGCAGGATTTCCAGATACAAAACAACAGACTCGCAGCAAAAGTGTTGAAGAAGACATTGAACAACTATACCAGGACAAACTTGTTGGAAAAGACGAAAAAGAAAATTCTCAGAGGGAAGGAACTGGAGAAGCTTCCAGACAACAATCCCAAAGCAAGAATGTAGAAAACGATGTTGAGAAGTTGTTTCAACAAATGAGAAAAAGAGAAATAGAAATGTAAACACATATATTTTTACACTTTCGATACTTTAACATTTTGTTACGATGATATCAGTCAATAATTTGGCTGAATCTTAAAAATATTGACTTGTTGATTGCTAAGGCAGTTCTGAGGGAGAATGCGTTTTGTGTATTTCCCATTCTGAAAAATGATCAAGAAATAATATTTGGTGAAAAAAGGGACAGCAATCTCTTCTAGAATAATCCTGCTTAATTCATCATTTCATTTGCCATATTTACCATAAAATACAGTATTCAATAGTTGTTAAATATTTTTTGTTGAAAATTTATTTAGCTTTGCTGTTGTAAATACATGTACTTTTTGTCAAAACTGTTTTTCAACCTTGCTTCTCCCTTACTGTACTCCCAGATACATTTTGTTGATTATAATATTATGATTTAAAACAATTAACGTCATTTCATATCCTTACTCGTATAATATAATATTAATATAATAATTTGAAATTTGATTACAGATTACTGAGAGCAGGGTTTCCTGATACCAAAGACAAAATCAAAAGTGCTAATGACGACACTAAACCAAAGAGCAAAAGTGCTGATGACAACACTAAACAACACTCACAAAGCAGAGCTTCTGGAGACGATATAAAAGAAAACTTTCAAGACAACAGTCCCAGGGATGTGGAAGAGCTCTTCCAACAAATGAGGGAGAAGGAAATGGATATGTAAATATTTATTGTATTTTTTTTTTTTTTTTTTTGGCTTCATCTGTTTACCAAAAAAAAAAAAAACAAATTCAAAGATGACATGGATTAAATTTAAGTATATCTGGTTCTTTATCAAAATATTTTTTTTTATATTTGCAAATCTTATTCGTACAATATTCGGTGATTCCATTCCAGACTACGCAAAGCAGGATTTCCAGATACAAAACAACAGACTCGCAGCAAAAGTGTTGAAGAAGACATTGAACAACTATACCAGGACAAACTTGTTGGAAAAGACGAAAAAGAAAATTCTCAGAGGGAAGGAACTGGAGAAGCTTCCAGACAACAATCCCAAAGCAAGAATGCAGAAAACGATGTTGAGGAGTTGTTTCAACAAATGAGGAAGAGAGAAATAGAAATGTAAACACATATATTTTTACACTTTCGATACTTTAACATTTTGTTACGATGATATCAGTCAATAATTTGGCTGAATCTTAAATTATTGACTTGTTGATTGGTAGTGCTCTTCTGAGGGAGAATGCGTTTTGTGCGTTTCCCATTCTGAAAAATGATCAAGAAATAATATTTGGTGAAAAAAGGGACAACAATCTCTTCTAGAATCTTCCTGCTTTATTCATCATTTCAAGTGCCATATTTGCCATAAAAATACAGTATATACAATAGTTGTTAAATATTTTTTCTTGAAAATTAATCTAGCTTTGCTGTTGTAAATAAATGGGGTTTTTTTTGTTTTTTGTTTTTGTTTTTTTTTTTTTGTCAAAACTGTTTTTCAACCTTGTTTCTCCCTTATTGCGTTCTTAGATCCATTCTGTTGATTATAATATTATGATTTAAAACAATTAACGTCATTGATATCCTAACTCGTATAATAAAATACTAATATAATAATTTGACATTTCATTACAGATTACTGAGAGCAGGGTTTCCTGATACCAAGGACAAAATCAAAAGTGCTGATGACGACACTAAACCACAGAGCAAAATCAAAACTGCTGATGACGACACTAAACAACACCCTCAAAACAGAGCTTCTGGAGACGATACAAAAGAAAACTTTCAAAGCAACAGTCCCAGGGATGTTGAAGAGCTCTTCCAACAAATGAGAAAGAAGGAAATGGATATGTAAATATCTATTACTTATTTCAACTTTTATTTTAAAAAATATCTTCAATTATGAAGCTGGTTGAATGTTAATGTTCTCTGGCTCTTTAATTAGAATATAAGTATTAACAACTTTTATTAGTATAAGATTCCATTCCAGACTACGCAAAGCAGGATTTCCAGATACAAAACAACAAACTCGCAGCAAAAATGTTGAAGAAGACATTGAACAACTCTACCAGAGCAACCCTGTTGGAAAAGACGATAAAGAAAATTCTCAGAGGGAAGGAACTGGAGAAGCTTCAAAACAAGAATCCCAAAGCAAGAATGCAGAAAACGATCTTGAGGAGTTGTTTCAACAAATGAGGAAGAGAGAAATAGAAATGTAAATATATATCTTTACACTTTTGATACTTGAACATTTTGTTTCAATATATACACGATGATATCAGTCAATAATTTGGCTGAATCTTTAAGTTACTGACTTGTTGATTGGTAGTGCAGTTCTGAGGGAGAATGCGTTTTGTGCGTTTACCATTCTGAAAAATGATCAAGAAATAATATTTGGTGAAAGAGGGACAAAAATCTCTTCTAGAATAATCCTGGTTAATATATCATTTCATGTGCCATATTTACCATAAAAATACAGTTTACAATAGTTTGAAATTTGATTACAGATTACTGAGAGCAGGGTTTCCTGATACCAAAGACAAAATCAAAAGCGCTTATGACGACACTAAACAACATCCACGAAACAAAACTTCTGGAGACGATACAAAAGAAAACTTTCAAAGCAACAGTCCCAGGGATGTTGAAGAGCTCTTCCAACAAATGAGAAAGAAGGAAATAGATGTGTAAATATTCATAAATTATCTCAACTTTGTTTTAAAAAAGATAGGTTCAAGTATGAAGCTTGTTGAATGTTTATGTCCTCTGGCTCTTTGATTAGAATATAAGTATTTACAGCTCTTATTAGTATAAAATTTCATTGTAGTCTACGAAAAGCAGGATTTCCAGTTACAAAACAACAGTCTCGAAGCAAAAGTATTGAAGAAGACATCCAACAACGATCCCAGAGTACACCTTTGGAAAAGGACGTTAAAGGAAAGTCCCAAAGCAAAGAATCTGGAGAGGTTACAAGACAACAGTCCCAAAGCAAGAGTGTAGCAACCGATGTTGAGGAGTTGTTTCAACAAATGAGAAAAAGAGAAATAGAAATGTAAATACAGATCTGTAGACATTCAATACTTACTTTTGTTTTACCACTTCCTATCAATCAGACTTTGGTTGAATTTGACTCATTGGTTGATAGTGAACTTCTGAGAGAGGAGATGCTTTTTGTGTGTCCCCTTCTAAAAATGATTAAGAAATATATATTTGGAAAAAATAAATAAAGAGATCTCTTGTAGACAAATATCCTAAGTAAACCTTTAAAAAAGCCATGTTTACCTTACAACTACAGTTTACAGTGTATGTTAAATACTATTTCTCCTTGCTGCTCAAAATACTTCTTGTTAAACTTTTTTTTCAATCTTGCCTCTCCCTCAAGGAACTACTAGATCCACTCTGTTGAATATGACATACATTATGAGACACATGTATTATGATTAAAATAATTAATCCATCAATATCCTTAGTGGTTAAAAGTAAATTTTATTCCAGATTACTGAGAGCAGGATTTCCAGATGCCAAAGAAACTGCTGATGACGACACTAAACTACAGAACAAAATCAAAACTGCTGAAAAAGATTCAAAACAAGAACCCCGAGGAATCAGTAATGTTGAAGCTACAACACTGAAGGCTGAGAGTAAAAACGCAAAAAATGACAAGGTACAAACGACCAACATACTAATTTTGTAGGAAAAAGTAAGATAGCTGCTTGGTGAAAATGAAAAATATAAAAACTGTTAAAATTGCTGGTTGAAGTGCCATCGTCTTAATCTCATAATAAACCGACCTTGCGTAAAATTTTATAAGTTCTTTGGTATCTGTATTGTAGGAGAAAAAAGATGATGAAACTCATGGACCTGAAGAAAATGAGCAGGTAGGGAATCTTTTTGAATATTTCTTACTCTTTTGATTAATTTTCAAAAAAATCTTATTTTGTATAACATATTACTTCAAAAGAAAAGGGAGATGCGCTCTCTAATTTCACGTTTTTGTCCACTGGTTTAATTTTCCCAAACAAAATGCTTTAAATTTGCTTCCTTTCATTTCAGCACCTTTGTACTTATTTTATATCATCTAATTTTTTAGTAGTATTTTTGCTTCATTCTACTTTTTTGTTATGAAACAATGAAAATAAAACTGTAGCAAACGAAGATATGACTTTTTTGTAGGCTGCTCACAGCTGTGACGTAAATGAAGACGAGAGTATCGGGTCCTTCACAGAACCTATGTATTGGTGCTGTATCTGCATTTACCGGAAGAGAGCACACGTAAGCGACATTTGCATGTCTTAAATCAGTGAAGGAATCGCAGTGTCATGGTCCTTTTTGACTGGCGAATACATCTAGTTCTTGACTTGCTCTTGTTTTTATCAAGACATTTCCCATTATTAAAGAGATTAGATAACTTATCTAAAATTTTCATATTCCTTAAGTTTCAACCCCCACCACATTCTTCATTTGAAACGTTCACATACAAGGATTGATCAAGGAACAATTAAAAGAAATGTTTAATTCAGAATTTTATAGACAAACAAAAAATACATAGCCATGAAATATGTATGAAAAAAATTTCTTTTTGTCTAGAACAAGAAAAGAAAAGATGAAAACAATGAGAAAAGGCCAGGGCTTCTGAAAAGATTTAGAAGATTTGTACGCAGAACTTTCCACATTGGGCATGAGTAAACTGGATATGATGACGAAGAATCTATTTTATGATGATATTAATGAAGATAAACGATGAAGATGATGATGAAATTGAAGATGATTGTGATGAATCATGTGATGATAATTTTGATGATTATTATAAGCATATAAAACATTTGTTCTTTTATGTTTACAATCACGTTGATTGCCATGCTCAATAAGACTAAAATGAAATTTTCTTGCACTTTTAAGTGCATTCCCGCTCCTTGCCAGATGAACCGCATGTCAATGTCATCCACAAGATTACAGCATGTTTCCTTCCCAAATCAGCCATGGGTTTTCGACGATGAAGACTATCATATTATCACGATATTTGATACTGTTCAGTGCTTTTTTATTGGTTAATAAGCTTTAATGTTCTTTCCTAGTTTTCATAATATATGAGCATTGTGATAATTTTTTTTTTATTTTAATAAATTTAATTTACTGGTTTTTAACTTTTGTTTGCTCATTTTTTCCCTTTCCAGCAGCATTGCAGAAGAGATGGAAATCAGTCTCTTCGTGGGAACAATCCGTGAATAAATTTGTGGACAAGCATATGAAATGTAACAGGATAGCAGAATTTAAGGTTAAATTCCTTTTTTTATTTATTTATTTATTTTTTATTTTTTTTTTTTTGGTATCGTATTTTGTACAAGCAATTTCTAAAACAAGATAAGCGACATGCATTGATAAATAAGTTGATGAAACAAGAATATCAAAGTCTCGTTTAAAGTCAACATCTCGCAGGTTCTGTTGTCGATACAATGACCTTGTCAGCAAATACAATCTACATTAAAACGAATGTTGACTGACGTTTTCATACAAATTGCTAGGACATTTTCTCACTGAACTGTCCACAGATTTTACAGTTTTATGACAACGAGCACACGGGTGTGACCGGTCAAAGGGATGCTTACTTGTCCATGGCACCTGATCCCATCTCTGATGTTTTAATTGTCTTTAGAGGTCCTGGTTTGCTCTGCTCCCGATTTGTATTGTTTCAATGGACTTTTGAGCTTGCTTACTGTTCGTAATTTTCATATTTCATTTAAATTGTTGAATATGACAATTCACACTCTCAATGTTTTCAGAAAAATCAAAATGTGATTTTTTTTTCTGATTCATAAAACAATTTTGAAAGTTTTGGCCATTTTTGAAATCTACTTGGGTTGACCCTTTCTAGTTTGACGGGAGTCAGTGACTCTAGCTAGGGTTCAGTTTAATCTCTGCATTTCCTTTGTGAACTTTTTTCACTTGAACATCTCCAAGTATAATGCCCTCGTTTACCACAGCGGTAACATATCAGAGGATACTTCAGCTTGCATGGATGTTCTATAATAGAAGATTCCACAAAGAGAACTTCATTCAATATGTCTTTAAGTTCTGCTCTTGTTATAAAATCAGAAGTCATTTGATTGTTTGCTCTCCTGTTCAGGAGAGTAGGTTTTTTGTGATTTTGGGGGGTGGGGGGTGGGGGAATCTAATTAAAATCAGACTTCTTAGATCCGCGCCGTATACACTCTGCATAAGAGAGTATACGGCGTGGATGATTTTGAAGTTTTCTGACACTTTTGGGATTTTTGTCTTGAGCCTTTGGAGTAATATAAGGATTAATTTGTTTGCTTCCTTGGTGAATTTGTCTCCGCCTGCATGTTATAGCGGTTGTTTCCATCATCATCTGCACTATAGGGTACCTAGTTGTCTCCTCATGCTCAATACATACAATGTATACTGTACATTCCTACACTTACGCGAGGAATTAATTATTGTGTAATAAAGTTTATTTCTTGAAAACAGACGGATAAAATTTCATGAAAGTCTGCAATTAGAATGTATCTTAATATGTTAACAAAGTGAAATAAACAAATTGAAAAAATACATAGAAATGGAAAATATAAAGTGCATCTAAAATTTTTTGAATTAAAAGATTCGAGCGGGAGAGTTATCCTTCTTTATTTTCCAAGGGTTGAAAAAACCTCGGTGCTATTTCTGAAATGAGGAGCATTTTAAAAATCGCACTTTGTTGCAGTGGTAGTTTTCAACTTTGAAGTGTTTTGAAAACAATGCATGGACAATCGCTTTCCAGGACGTGTCTTGTTCAGAGCAATTGCATTCATCTAAAAGTTTTGTGAATATATACAACAGCTAGCTGATTTGAGACGAAACAGATACTTCTTGAATTAAATAACAAAGAAGATCGGCTCTGATTAAGGTGATAATTGATTGGTCATAATTCAGCACAATGCGAAGTAATCGCACTTATCCATGCCTCACCGCACACAAGGTGCTGTACAGTTACATGTACTCAAACAATTATTGAAATACAGCTTTTGCTCAGAAGTGTTCAAAAGCAGCAATGTTTAAACTATCTTTTACAGCTAGGAGTTTGCTTTTTTTAAACGTCCGTAGTACAATTATAAGTAAATTTAAATGCGATTTTTTTGTCTATTTTTACTTAAAATGCCCACTTGTGAGAACTTGCATTGAAATAGCTTCAGAGTATTCTTTTAAACGGTGTATCTACAAATTTTGACCGGATAATAAGCACTCGTGCAAATCCAAACAATACTTCAAACGGAAATACTTCATAACGTGGAGGTATCCCATACTACCTTAAATGAATGATTTTAATTTTCCCAGAGGCATGGCTCGGGCCTGTAATAAAGTGAACATTTACTCAAATTACACTGATGGCCCAACGGTTAATCATTTAACACTATTCATTCAAAAACGTTAAGGGAAATCTATGGTTAGTAGAGAAGAACCATGCAAGAAATAAAGGTTACATGTAGGTTTATTAACAGTACGCATTTGAATAAAACACCAAACGAACATTTATATGCAATGAGAAAACATGACATACCGGGTAATGCGTAGAACAACGAGGTAGTCATGATGCAAGTGCATTTTGGCTAACATTCAACGCAACGACACGATGTCTGAAGAGGAATTTTTTTTTTAAAAATATAGAGTTTAGTAAAGTGAATGCATACAAGGGAAAGGGATAGTGAATGTCAAACCCTTTTACATCCTTGATCAAATACAGAATAGACCTCCTCTCTGCATGTGGATAATTTAGGGCATCAGTCGCACATCTACTTTTCATGACGATATAACAAATAATATCCAAGTTGACTGAGATTTCAAGCTGACATATCATGTTCCTTGCATGTTAGTAAGCTTATGAATATTGTTCTTCAATTAAAATTAAATTAAATGCGCAAACAAATAACGCAATGATCAAATTTTGAACGGGAAAGCAGTATTTTCTGTTGTTTGAAGTTATCGCCCTTATAATTATAAATCACATTCTTTTTTTTCAAAAATAAGCAATTCTGCTGAATCCAATTCAAAGTAAAAAGATCAAAAATAAACATTTTATAATCTCTTTTAAAACAACGATAAGAATTTTCTCTTTGTTGTAGAATAAGTATTTTTTCCGTTATTTTTTATTGTAAATAAACTATGAAACATCTATGTATTATGCATATATAAAGTTTATTTCAGAAGGCCAAAGAGTCAGACGGACAATAAATAAAATAAGAGAGAGGTAGAGAGTGGGGAGAGTGGGAGAGGGTAGGGAAAGAGAGAGGGGGAGAGAAAATGGGGGAGAGAGTTGGGACGGAGAGACTGAGTGGGTGGGAAGAGGAGAGTTAGTAAAGAGAGTGAGCGGGGAGAGAGGGAGGAGAGATTTAGGGGAAAAGTTAGTAGACAGAGTGAGTGGGGAGAGGAGGGGACTGAGTAGAGAGAGTGAGCGGGGAGAGAAGAGGGGAGAGTGTGAGTGAGGGGGAAGAGTGAGAAGGGGAGAGAGTGTTTTGAGAGAGTGACTGGTAGAGAGTGTGAAAGGAGAGAAATCCTATTCCCACATAGCTAATATTTGAATTTTATACCTGAGTGAACAGAAGATTAGTCTGTTTTTATATACACGTATGAGTATTTGTGCATTACCTGAGGGTTACTTTCATTGAAAATAATTTAAAAAAAAAAAAAAACCAAAATGTGTTTGTGAAACACTGATGCCCGTATGGCAGCTTATGGCGAAGGTTACAGTTTATCAAATGCAAGTCAAAATCCAGGCCAAAAGATGAAAAAATGTTGGTACCCAAAGAAAGGTCTTGTCTCGAGGAATATACCTGTGAAATTTGAAAGACCTAGCTGCAACTGTTCAAAAGTTATGGCGAAGGTTAAAGTTTTTTAAAAGTAAGTAAAACGTCAAGGTCAAAGTGGTTGGTATCCAAAGAAAGGTCTTGTCACAAGGATTACATATGTGAAGTATGAAAGCCCTAACACCAACCATTCAAAAGTTATGGCCAAGGGTACAGTTTTTCAAAAGAAGGTCAAACTCCTATGTCAAGGACAAAGGGTCAAAGTGGTTGGTATCCAAAGGAAAGTTATGTCACATGGATTACATACGTGAAGTAACAAAGCCCTAGCATCAATCATTCAAAAGTTATGGCCAAGGTTAAAGTTTTCAAAAGTAGGTCAAACTCCTAGGTCAAGGTCAAAAGGTCAAAGTGGTTGGTATCCAAAAAAAGGTCTTGTCACAAGGATTACATATGTGAAGTATCAAAGCCCTAGCTCCAACCATTCAAAAGTTATGGCCAAGGTTAAAGTTTTTCAAAAGTAGGTCAAAAGGTCAAAGTTGTTGGTATCCAAAGGAAGGCCTTGTCACAAAGAATATACATGTGAAGTTTGAAACCCCAAGCACCAACTGTTCAGAAGTTATGGCCAAGGTTAAAGTCTCATAAAATTTTGCAAAAGTGGGTCAAACTCCAAGGTCAAGGTCAAAAGGTCAAATATGATGGTACCAAAAGAAAGGTCTTGTCACAAGGAATACACATGTGAAATATGAAAGTCATAGCTCCAACCAAACAAAAGTTATGGGCAAGGTTAAAGTTGACAAAAGGAGGCTGGGGGTCAACAAATTAACCATCAGATATAACTTAATTTTTAGGTATGATATTTTAAGCTGTCATCTTTCATTTGGCAAAGAAAAATTTCATAAATTTTAGTTTTAAAATTTGATCATTTTTGTATATCTTTATATGGAGCTCTTCTTCTAAAGGAGATCAATATAGTCTGAAAATGACCACAACCCCCCAGCCTTCTTAAAGTTTCATTTATTCTCTCAAACTACCTACATGAGGTTCTGTGTACTATATAAACGAAGACAAAATACAAGATCCCAGGAAAGATTTGTTCATAAACTTTAGATATATGTTACTTACAATTCAATTATTACATTGGAATCAGCAGTTGACGATAATCTGAGAATATTTGATTGCAAATTGACTTTTCATATATTTGCATGAAAAAAAAATCATTCATGAATGTTGTAGCTAATTTGATGTTGTTTTTTGTTTTGTTTTGTTTTTTTTTTTGATTTGGAACTTAGAAAA